AGGCAGAATCGCAGATGGTGCTTGACAGGCTGACAAAGAAAGATTTCCAGGGATGCTTCCAGGCTTGGCAGCGGCGCTGGGATTGTTGTGTTCACTCCCAGGGGAACTACTTCGAGGGTGATGGATGAATTTAATACCTGAGATAAGTGTGCGGGTTTTTATACGCACAGTCTTGAAACTTTCCGATCGCACCTCGTATGTTATCAAGATCAGGATATGCTACGGTGAGCCAGAAAATGATCACATGTGAGTCAAACAACAATATATTTATTAGTATGACATCGATGGTACAAGAACATTTAAAAAAAATATCCTTATTGCAGGGAAGTGTAACTCTCGGGGTAAGACACTACTAGACTGTCATTGAGATGATCTTGGTTATAATGTGTGGTCAGATATGTGTTTTGATTCTTTTTGCACAGAGACTGAATCCATCATCTCTGCTAAGGGCAGAATACCACACCCACACCAAGGTTTCGAGTCTGTAAAATTCAGTTTCTCTCTACCGACCGTCAGTTTGTGTCAGTGACGGTTGAAATTGAAATACGTTAACGGAGGCAACACTCGCGACATCTTCACGCAGCGGTAGTGTAACTATTGAACTAAGTACACGCAAATCATGGAAGATGTCGCTGATCCCTAGCGGACAGTCTCTTGTTCAATTTAACGATTCAGAATGCAGTTGGCCGCAACTGATTGTATTGGTTTTGTGTAATGGACGTTGTAAACAGAAGATGACGTTGGTTTTGTATGTGATTCTGTCACTGGGACCAGAGACTAGCGGAATCGGCTCTATGGTTACCCTACAGAACAGACTTGGCCAGGTTAGGTAGGAGCCATACGTGAAGACACTACAAACCAAAACATTTTATTTATATCTTCACATGTTTGTATTTTCTTCAGATTTCCTCTTCCGTGTAATTACTAGTGTAAATTTTTATGAAACCAGTGGCTTGTGTAATGTAATAATTCTATCCAACCTTTTGGTTTTTACACAAAGTCTCGCGTTTTATTTTCACAGAACCAGTTATCACAGAGCATATATATTCCCGCTTATATTTAGAACATCACAGAACAAAAAGAAATGTAAGTACACAAATAACATCAGACACAGAATTTAATGGTTTTGTAGAGAAAAATTTATAGCTGCAGAAAGTTCTATGCGGTGTTCTTTGTACTCTGATTCAGCAAACCCCGTCTGCGGACTTATAGCTGCTTCTCGTTTTGTTCAAAAGAACGTATCACAATTCAGCTCCAAGATATTTAATTGTTCTGCGGAAAACCAGAAATATTAAGCCTCCGTGTCACGTTATTTGAAGAGTACTGCAATCATACTTTGCTTTTAAGTCGCCGCCATGTTCCAGATTTGACTCCAAATAACTTGTTTGACACTGAAAACCATTACATCTCGTCTAAAATTAATTTTACAAATTCTGAAACCTGTAGTAATACAAAGATACAGCAAGTAATTCAGAATTGAAATAAATATATACACGAGGTGAAGCTTAAGAGACTTCGAAGAACAAATAATTGAAGAACGAACAAGACCACTGCTTCACTGTTTTACTTCTAAATTTATTTACTTACGAGGTGAGATCGGAAAGTTTCTAGACTGCGCGTATAAAAACCCGTACACTTATCTCAGGTATTAAATTCATCCATCACCCTCGAAGTAGTTCCCCTGGGAGTGAACACAACGATCCCAGCGCCGCTGCCAAGCCTGGAAGCATCCCTGGAAATCTTTCTTTGTCAGCCTGTCAAGCACCATCTGCGATTCTGCCTGAATCTCTTCTATCGTCTCAAATCTCCATCCCTTTAGCTGAATTTTCATCTTTGAGAAGAGGAAACCTTAGAAAGGAAGTTGGGGTCGGTTCTTGCAAGATCTTTGAGCTCCTGACAAACGAGAAGTCGATTCTGCTTCTGGTCCTCAGACAGGATGCGTCGCATGTGGAGTTCTTCCTTTAGAATCAGCTGACAGGCCCCATAGCCTATCCCAACAATGGCGCACAAGTCGTTGATGGTACGACGTCGATCTTCGTGAATGGCCTGCCGAATCTTCCTAACATTTTCGGGCGTTGTGCTCGAAGATGGTCGGCCAGAACGCTCGTCATCATCGACAGAGGTTCAGCCATTTTTAAAACGTGAATGCCACACAAAAGTTTGTGCACGACCCATTGCGGACTCCCCAAATGCTTGCTTGAGCATTTCATAGGTTTCCGTAGCCGTTTTGGCAAGTCTTTGGCAACACACTGATTCACTATGAATGTAGGCCGCACCCCCTAGCGGCAGAAGCTCGTACTACATCCGGTTCGCCCTCTATTGACACAGTCTTGAAACTTTCCGATCGCACCTCGTATGGTTTCTCAACTGCGAACCTTATGCAAATTATGGATTATAAAGGAGTATAAAGGAATCCATCATGCCCTGTTCCTAGTTTATATTCTCAAATTGTCATTGTCTCTCCAGGAATAAATACTAATAATTGTGTAATTTAATTAAAACTAAATAGGGACATACTAATGTAAGAAGTAATTAAATTTAGAATCATTGGATGTCTTCAGACATTTAATTTAGATCAAAGGGCGTGTTACTCCCTTGCATCTAAATCGCAGAACATTAGTTCACATGCAAGATTGCTTTCCTTTATTTTCTCACGAGTTTACAGAGTGGAGCTACTGTGCGTAAGAGTTCAGTAGTACTTGTCACGTGAGCGGCCTGTTAACAAATGATGTGCGCATGCGTACCTCCCTCCTTAATCCTGAAACGAGAAACACAGTCCTGCAGTACAAATACACTTCTCCACTGACTGTTCGTAAAGTAAAGATTTCTCACTGTACGCCATGTTGGCGCTTGGAGGGAAAGGTTGTATAGCTCCTACTCCTACTGACTGAACCGGTTCGTAGTATCGTTATGTATTTGTTTTGCTGTTACTAAATATTTTATAACTTACAGTGTAATAAGCTATTGGCGGAAGTAATGTTTTCTCAAACTTGTTGCAGGCGAACACCCAGCGGCCATTCAATATGGCGGACAGCTGAGGTTGCAGTACCCCGTGACCGTTTTCCTCCTCAGCATCTTGGTCACGCTCATCGGTTCCTGAATACCATCTGTTCTGATCGTTTTGCAATTTTTCTTCTGATGGATGTCGTTTAAAAGTGTTGAGCATTGTACAAGCTGCTATTACAAAAAAAAAAAAAAACAATTGAAGTATTTAACTTGTGAAACAAAATTTGAGAATTAGAACTACAAGAATTGGACTGGAGACTCACAGTACCATGTTTGAATCTGCAAATTTGTTTGCTGTTTTTAACCTCTGTCAAATAATTGGTTGTTGTAAATGGGTAGGCCCTGCATACATAGTTTTATCGTATCCTTGTATAATAACTTTGTTGATTAATATTACTTGGGAAATATATATATATATAATTGCCGTATGTAGCGATTTTGATATGTCGTGAAGCACGACATATGCGAATTAGAATTCGGGGAGATTATATGAAAAGGGGTGGTCCGTTCGGAGACATTTGGTACTCTATATCTGATTTTAGGTTGTTTGTTGCGTGGTTGGAATCGAAATTGTATCATAAAAGTAAAAAAACACGACTTTTCACTCGGTTTATTCAATTTTTAATTTCCGCCAAACTTTTCTCCTTGCCTTTGGCTGGAAATTAATATCTGCTTGATACGAAATATTACATCACTGCCTCTTTGATCCTTCTGCGATATTATCAGCACATCAGAAGAAAAGAAGTTGCTTCCGTACACCAACATAAGATCTTCTAAAGAGGCGGCGGACACGGAAATGTGAAATTAACCATGTAAAAGTAATTTCGTAAGAAATATTACACTGTACTCGATACACTGATTGAATTTATCCTTAATACCCATATCCTCAGTTAAGTGTAACCCAGTATCGTCTTCCTGCTCTAGATAACTCTTTAATGAGCTGGAAAATCCCTAGGTGATCCTCTTGTTAATTTTCAGGAAGGAGATTAAAATATAAGCCAGTTTCCTGACCGAACTTCTGAGACATTAGACGTTCTTCAGAACAAAATGGCTTCAGTTGTGGTGACATTAGCTTCCTTCTAGAAATTAGTATGTGATATGCAATGCATTAAAAACACAGCGTGTTAATATTTGACATCATGGAACGCAGACCTTATATAGAAGGTAATGATACGTTCAGCTTATCAACAAATTACCTAACTTTTATGGAACCCGAAAGTTCATTACCGTGCTTCTAACAGCTCGACACCGGTCCCTAAACTGAGCCAGATTACCCCATCCACACCTTCCAAACCCATTTACTTGAAGTCAATTTTTAAGTCTTCCCATCTATGTTTAGGTCTTCAGAGTCGTATCTTCCCTTCCGGCTTTCCAAAAAAAATATTTTATATGCATTTCTCATCTCCCGCATGCATGCTACACTCTCCGTCCATCCTTGATTTCATCTTCCTAATACTACTTACTAGGTGAAGAATATAAATTATTAAACTTCTCTTCATTATCCATTTTTATCAACCTTCCTATCACTTCGTCTCATACCCTACAGAAACCCTTTCAAAATTACCACATCACAGGAAACAAAAGAACTGTTATTATCATATACAGGATGAGATAAAATTCGCGAACAAGTTTCTCAGGGTGTCGTCCTTGATAAAAAAAGTCGATAATATGAAACAAAAAACATCCTGTGACTTTTAGTTTTCGTGATACTCGTCACCGTCAAATGGTTCAAACCATAAAACTGTCCAACCTGGGCGCCTCGCAGTTACTGTAGGTTTTCGAAGCGGCCTCCGTCCATTTCAAGGCAGACGACATCGACCACTGTCAGCTGCTCGGAGTCTTCCTGGGAGGGACTGCATAAACGTGCTCCTTCAGATGTCCTCACAGGGAGAGAAGAAAACGGGGTTGGATCCAGCGACCGAGGAGGCCATGCAATCGCCCCCCACGTCCAATCCCCTTCCTGGATATGTCGCGTTCTACCGGACATCTTCCCCGTAGCGCGCTGGAGCTCCGTCGTTCCGAAGCCAGAACAACCTCTGTCTCACAGCTGGAGGCACATCTTCAGGCAGCCCCCGGCAGAAGTTTCCAGGAAATCACGGTCGTTGAGCCCAGGACAACGTCGCCGACGATGCCAGCCCAAACGCTGGCGCTGAAGCGGGTAGCATGAGGATTATCCTGTGCCCAGAAGTGACTTGTGGACGTTGTAAAGACCCTCACGCGTAAAGCGCTTCGCCTATCCGCAAATCGTTCATCCTCAGCGTTTCGATGTCGTAGCCATTTGCAACATTGCGTCCGTAGAGGAGTCGCTCGTTACGAAGTGCGTCGCGGACCCTGGGTTGGGATAGTCCCAGTTCTCGTGCGAAATCGCGTGAGCTTCTCCACGGCTTCAAGTATGGCGTCCGTACAGTCCCTCGCGCGACCTTCATTCACGCACGTTTTGTCTCACGGAGACGCTTCTCCAGTCGTCGAAGCAAATTAGCGTCTGGTTGACGTCAACGAGGGTAACGTAGCGCGTATTCCGGTCCATAACAGACACCGAGGGTAATGAGCATTTCGCAGTGTTCGTCGTTCCATGATCATTCGGTCACAGCTGAGCCCTGCTGTGTCCATCAACGCTCTTCGTCTATCAACGTGACAAATAACACCGCTGAGAAGTGTTTGGCCCCATTTGACGGTGATGTGTATCTAGAAAAACAGCGTCTCAGGAAATATATTGTAGAATACTTCCGACTTATTTATTTTTAAAAGAAGTAATCGCGCTATGGCGAGCCTGTGCCCGAATTTTATTACATTCTTACTTACTTTACATGAAGCAAGGTCATTCTGGTTTCCTTGATATATTTTCTGGTCGATTCGACGAATTATTTCTGGCGAATTGCTTGTTTCCGAGTGGAGGAAAATGAATGACGCAATTATACCTTTTACTGTACGGCGTAAGATTTCTGATGAACAATTTCGTTGGACAAAACCTCTGCATCAGATGGTCTCATTTATAGAACATTTTTTTCAAGTCACATTTTTAAAAGAAATTAAGTTATAAGGCCCTCTCTAATTTTGCTTCTGATATTATAAAATCATTTCAACCCTCGACTTGTAACTGTGGCTTAATTGGACAGCCCTCGTATTGTTAAAACTTGCTTATTTAATTGGCATTAGAGTTTTTAGTGATGGTATAAAAATATGTATGATTCGTTATTGTTTACTTGTTTAAATTTTTAAATATATTCGGCGATGTTTGAAAATGATAGTATTACCAAATTTTTATTTTATTCATTTATTTTTATCCTGAAGGAATACGTTGTTAAATATTAACCTTTTAATTAGGATTAATTAATCAGCTTGTATATGTGTATATATATATATATATTTATATGTAAAATTATATATTCTTCAAAAATACCTAAGTTCAACTTTGATGTTGTCAGCATCAAATTTTGTTGTTTTTTTTCAACAGACATTTTCAGTCTTAAATAATCGTTTTTCTTAAAAAAAATTCACCGAACAAGAAATATATTGACTCGAAACGAAGGGCAGGTCCTTGCCTTAACGAATGAATCAGTATTTCAAAGAATCTCGCTGCTATTTTCCCCACAATCATTCAGTGATTATTTGGGTACAATAATCAGGTACTGACAATCCTGTTTCGTGTGATTTGAAAAATAAATGAGGAGTTCAACAATTTTGGCGCTCTGATTTATTTGTATTGTTCACAGATGTAGATTGGTTTATATAAAATGTCATCCTTTGGCTGCGTAAAGATTCGAAGTTACGGATCTGTAAGCCAGTCTGCTCAATATAACGTGACAAATGAAATAACATTAATTCGTTTGGGTTACTGCATATTACGACTGTGTCCGGTGGAGGGCATTGGTGAATTTTGTGATGAACCTTTGGGTCCTCTAAGCCAGTGGTATTCAACCTGGGGTACGCGAAGACATCTTAGGGGGTACGTGAAATTTAAAATAAATATATATATATATATATATATTTATTGATAAAAGACAATTATACTAAAGACAGCCTGTCATATTGCGCCGAGTCAAACTATTTATCCTCGTATTTAAATAAATATTCACGACATCAAAAACCATTTCAAGCAGCAGTCTTAGAATAAGTGGTTTTAATATTTTGTGTAATGAGCCCTTTGCACTGTACAGAATACAGGACCATTACATGTTGGTTAGTTACTGCATATTACCGGACGAAATAAAGCTTATTACTTTTCCAGGTTTTTATTATATTTTTCAATACTTATTTTTTAACATCAAGTCTCGTTATGGGTTGTATACGTGACTATTCCAACAAATAGGTACGTTTTTTTCAAAATGTCTCCTATTGAAACGTAGCAGAAGTGGTTTTTAGCCCTCACGAGATATTGTGCTGGATTGAACGTAATCTTTAGTGTATCTTAAAGTCAATATAGAAAACACGGATTACGATGTTGCTGGTTATTTATCTTTCAGAACACATTCCTTAACATTAAGACAACAAATATATATATTTGTAATTTTCTTCATTGTGGATTCGAAACCATTCAATTTCTATGTAAGTAATAGAATAGTTGGACTTTAAGAGTACTTGAAAGTAATTTATTGCTTGGTGTTTAAATAAGTTTTGGGCAAAAATAAACGTGAGAATTTTATAATTAATTTTTAAAAAAGGAAACGAATTTACATTGACTACTCCATATAATAATTTCTATATTATTATTATTTATTTATTTAGTGTTCTGTCTGACGACAGGTCCATATGAACAGAATCCTTCCATCCTTTTCTCGGACTGGGACCTGTTCATATACGTTCTTGGCAGATGATCCAGAAGTGGTTTGCCATTGCCTTCTTCTGTGTGTGAATGGAGTAATTGTTGGGATGCCACGGAGGAAAACTCCGTGTTGCCTAGACCACGGCCTTGCCCAACACAAGTTATAAATTCGGGCACCGCCGGGAATCGAACCCGAGACCCCAGGATTACAAGGCCAGCGTTCTAACCGCTAGACCACCGTAATTTCTATATGACGCATTATATTTAAAACATGCGTATAAGTTGTTTTCAAAGCGAGAAATTTAAATTGTTTAAATTTACAAGTATGCAGCATAACACGACATTCTTTTATTGTAGGGATTTAACTGCACTCAGGGGTTTGCTCGATTTATTTTACAAAAAGGACGCACGTTTTGTTAACATTCTCGCCACGACGATAACGAAGGACTCCTCAGAAAATGGTAACGTGTTCTTTTCGCATCTGGTAACAGTGTCGTTTGACACATCTTTATTAGTATACGAGTAATTTATTTTGAATTGTCATCCTCCGTATTTATTTAACACGTATATTTTCGTTTGTCATTCGCGTAGGATGCCATTTTATTGGATTATATATTTTTACGTGCGTTTCGAAAGTTCTTTCAGAAAACAGTATCAGTTTAGTCTTGTTGTATCCGTTCGTAAATGACAACTCCCGAACAAGGGAGTCCGTTTCAGTTACGCTTGAAATGGAAATCCTGACCTAAATTTGTTGAGTTAACCTGAGTGCAGTTTAGTTCGATTCATTTTAAGGGCCACTTAATTTAACTGTCTAAATGGAATATAACCTTTATGGATCTCTTTACAGATTGATGACCCTACATCCACGGCACATCTATTACCTTTCATTCGCTTTCATTTCGTTCGGTGCTTATATTCCTCGAGGTTCTAAATGGCTGAAATGAAAATTTATTGAATAAAAGTTACGATAACCCATAAAACATGTTATATATCGTAGATTATTTGCGAAGGGCTCATTCTTATTCTGTAATTTCCCTAATTTTGCTTTTGAGTCATTTAAAAAGATTGACTCAGCACTCAGATCTGCGTTAAGAAAA